AGGGGGCACGTAGGGTTAGATGTGCGTGCGTGCTCTACCCGTGTATGTGTAGAGGGGGGAAGGGGAGAGGGGCCGCACCGCTGAACTGAACACTTGGGTGTGTAACCCGCCGATGCCGGGTCGTGTTGTTGTTGTCAGGGGGAAGGATATCCCCCTGTGGGGGGGGTCGGGGAAGAGAGGGGGGCCCGGGGGGTTAGGACGCCCCGCCCCACCTCCCCACCTCCCCACCTAGCAGTTACGGTACACACGGCCCATTTGGCGTTGATGATGATGATGATGACGATCACCCCTCACACCGACGATACCAATGGTGGTGTTGGCGACACGGTGGGGGGGACACTGGCGCCCAACCTCCTTTGCTCAATAAGAGCAGGGAGCCGCTCTTCGCGGGTCCCGAGTGAATTGCACTGCCGTACAATGCACAACCGTTACAGCGGTGGCCATGATAACCGTTGGTGGTGGTGTGTTGCCAAGTCCACTTGAGGTGCGGATTGGTGCGGTCCCCGTTTGGGAGGCGGAGGCACAGACATGAACCACACGCTCACCCTTACACACATTCATACGTACATACATACATACACGCACCGGTTGCCCTTCTCCCCGGCAAGCCCACATCCTCGGGGCGGGTTTGGCTGCTCGGGTCCAATTTCCGGACCGGACCGGCTGCCACTCACCGCGCTCATCACCACCACTACTACCACCACCACCGCCCTCCCCTCTTCCCCTGCCACTGCCTGCCGTCAGCCGTCAGCAGCTGATCCCGTGTTTCTTGCTGCGGACTTTGCGATTTAATTTTTTTGGATCAATCACAGCGACATGTGCGATCTCTGCCTCTGGATCTCCTGCGCATTGTTGGTGGTGGCGTGTACGGCGTTCCTCTTTCGCATGTTCGTGTGTGTGTGTGTAAGTTCGGGCGAATGAGGGCGGGATACTGGCTGCTGCTGCTGCTGCGCCGGCGGCGGCGGCGGCGGTGGTGACCGCCTGTAGGACGACGGGTCTGCGGAGGAGACGCCAGCGACGGAGGCGGCGGCGGGGAAACAGGAGGCCCGAGATGGGCCAGGGGGGCCGGCGGTGTGGTGGGGTGTGGTGGGGTGGGGCTTGTCGTCGAGTTGTGTTGTGCGGACTGCGCTGTGCTGTAGTTTAGTTGTCGGAATGCGCGGCCGGGTGCCTTGCGCAAACAGTCTGGCTTGGACCTAGCCCCGGCTGGGGGGAATATGCACGAGGAGTTTAAGATGCGAGACCTCAGTTCGATTCTTGCCCAGAGTTCTTTTTTCCTATGAGAATGTTAACACGGGTGGTGCCAACTTGAGGACAGCAGGTTTTTTTGGCGTTCGGGAATGCACAAGCGCAGAAGTCAAGGGCGCGGGGTTAGGGGCGGGGGATGTAAAGCTGCCCCAGATGGCCGAGATCTCCGCACGTGTCGGGGCGGCCGCGCATGTGTACGGTACGTATAGTACCGGTATCGCAAATAGGCGTGTGTGTGTGTGTGTGTGTGCATCCATTCGATAGGGCATTTGATTGAGCCGGCCTGCCGTTGTCGGGCTGCAAAAGTACACTGAAATGTAGTACAGGTGTGATCCGCCTTGAAGAGGATATTACTGCTAGACTAGACATGTGGTGCTGGTGAGCATAGGAACACACTGTGATGTGCTGGTGGTGGTGGTGGTGGTGGTAAGGGGTGTATATGTATGTGTGTAGATGTGTGTGTTTCTGTTCTTGAGGGTCGACGCTACCTTCTGCGGCCCCCGTTGCGTCGGAGCGAGAGAGAGGAGGGGGAATAGAGCTCTCCCCAACCCCCTTGATGCGATAAAAGGGGGGTTGACGATGCATGTGTGTGTGTGTTTGCTGCTGGGCAGCCGCAGCCTCACGTCACCTCACGCCGTTGGTCCAGTTAAAAAAACATGGAAAGAGTCATCTGTGACATGAGAGGCTTTCCGTTGCCTCCAGCGCCCATCGAAGGTCGCGAGCGTTTCGGAGCCGCTGCCTAACTAGTAACGACCGGCCTCCCGTTGGATTGTGGGTGGTGTGTGTGTATGTATGTGTGCTGCACGCGCGGCTCACCCTCCTAGGAGAATACCCAGCTACACCGAACTAGGTGCGCTGGTTGATAGTCACTTTTTGAGGGATTTGGATTTCCTAGATTGCGGAAGGTGAGGATTGCTGTTCCGCCATGACTGGGCCGATGCCCATGGAGGTTTCCGGTAAAACATCCTCTGTAAAATACTTTTGCTCTTTTCTGGAGTTGCGATGGTTCGGTGAGTCGGTGAAAGTGAGCATACACACCCTCTCCTCATACACACTCTTACACCTTCCGTGTGACCATCATTTCATTGTTCAATCCCCTCCGCAACAGCTATACAGCACTTCTCCTGTACGGGGTGGTGATGGTGGTGCAGTATTGGTGGAAGTCAAAAAGATTATTTTTAGGAATCCAAAACACCAAATCTCCCCCTCCACCCCGGAGGAAGGGAGGGTCCGGTTCACGGTGCCAAGCGGTCCGAAAAGCGGTCTGCAAGGAGTCGAAATTCGGGTTTTCGACTCTTCAAGGATAAAACATTGATTCCGGCGATGGCGCCACCTGGATACACTGCCTGATGAGATGGGGCCACACGCGACCAAATTGCCGTCCACGGCCTGTTGCAGCTGCACACGGCAGTCTGCCCTGACTGCCCCCACCGCCCTTTGAGCTGGCCCCCGTTGCCACCACGGGTCGACACAACAATAGCAACAACGACAAAACACACATAAAAAGCTGTGCGCCGGCGAACACACATATGCCAGTCCTCGATCTACCCAACTACCCAACTACCGCCTCGTGCGCTCAGACAAAATATGTTAACCACATCACACCCTGAAACCCTGATACACATGAACCCCTACCAGCAGCATGTCCTGCTACCCGTTATACTATACCCTTCTTTCCCTGGAGCTGTGCAGGGAAAGTTTTACCGACACCCCACCTTACACCCGTCGCCGCAACATAGCTGCATATAACAATGCACAGCAGTAGTAATCGTACCAACAGCAGTAGCAGCAGCAGCCGCACGCCTCGTAGTCATGGGAATGACACCCAATCATAACACGGGCGGTCAAGTAAATAATATCATCTCGTCCCGATGACAGTGTGGTGGTGATGGTGGCGGTGTCGTCCTATCGACAGGCTTCATCCGCTGCCCGGACAGCGCCCATTAAAGACAACCTATGGGAGGTCGCGCAAAGAGGCTCCACCAAAAACTGCAAAACGACGCAAACATCAACACTTCCTTGGCCTACATCGTAGCGGCACTTAGGCGCAGGCGGATAGATAGACTGGCAGTGCAACACCTCCCATGGGTGGGTAGACAAATCACTGCTTCGAAATGAAGACACAACCTACCACAATCTACAGATCACTCATTCACCGCCGCTCGCGCGAACTCAATTTTAAGAAAAAGAGTGGGGGAGGGGAGAATAGCGAGATGTGGCGGTGGAGATCGGAGCATCGCTTGTCCGAGGTCGCCCGCAAACAAACCCAGATCCGTCCGCTCAGCTAAAAACAGCAAACGGGAACCAACTCGGGAACGAACTTGTCAGTTTGGTGAGAAAGGCAGTCGCATGCCCGTCGCCCCTTGAACTATACTTGGGACTTTAGGGAACAACCAACTCCGCCGTCTCTGTCTCTCCTGCGCCTCCGCCTACCATTTCCCCGGTGGCGCCTCTCCCAACTGCTCAGAACACACAGCCCCCACGCTAGCTCACCCAGCAGGTACCAGACACAACGTCCACCGACCGACCGACCGGGCAGTCCAGACACACACCTGCATTGCCCTGGCGCACCCCACGACCCCGCCCGCCCCCACTCCCTCCGCTCTCTTCCCCCCGCCGCCCTAACCGCTCATCAGAGATACTCATTACTCCCCACTCGCTCACAGCATTGTACGGTACAGCAGACGGAAGCCCGATAACTCGAAAACTCTCCCCCTCGCCACTTCCCGCATGCACGTTTTGAGATTCGATGCGCTCCCACACCTCCTCCTCCCCCCTTCATTCCCGCCCCGCACCTCCCCTGCCGGGGTTTCCAGACCCCATTCAAGGCCTCAAAAACACACACATACACACACAATACGGGGTTACGCGGCCTGCTGGATACCGCCGCGCTCTGGCCCAGTGGCTACAACTGCACCCCGTCGGACTGTGTCCCACCTCCTCAGTCCTCTTCCATTGGGCCCATTCGCCCGCCGATCCTGCCATCATCACCACCTCGCAGCAGGAGAGCAGTTAGCAGTCGCAGCAACTGCGCTGAAGCATGGGCCACAAAGCCCCCCCCCCTGCAGGGGTGCCAGGAGGAGCCCGCCCACCTCCATGCCTTCATTTTCATTTGCCCATCACAAGGTCAAGACGTTGCACTCGCTCCCAAGTCCGTATGTATGTCTTAACCTACGCGCGTGCTCTTGACAAAGCAGTGTGTGTGTGGGGGGGGAGAAACTGCCTGTGCAGTGCAAACCAACGAGATGAAAATGCTGTGTGGGTGTGTTATGTGTAAATATGTGTGTGTTGTTGCTCGTGTCCCTCTGTGATACATCTAAGCTCGCAACCGCGAGGCGAATGAGGAAGAGGATAGAATTACGGTGGTCTATTGGCAACGCTCGCTGGAATGTGACGTACGTGTACGGCATTTCGCATTTCTCCCGACCTAAAGACCACAAACCCCCTCAGAATACCCTCAGTTTCCTTCAACCCCTTTGGCTCCTCTCGCCCTCAACTCCCCCGAGCGTTTTCCTTTCCCTCCCTACTTCCCCTGCCTGCAAGCAGTTCCCCCCTCCCTCCCGACATACACACACACACACACACACACACCATGCGTCCTCCCGGCGCCTCGACCCCCTTCCATCGCCTTCCTCAATGCTCAATAATCACCAACGGCCCATCAATCAATCCATCTCCACCACATATTAATCCGCCAATCAACCACACTCGCTCCTGCTCAACGTTATTCATTCAACGCATCCAAAGAGCGATGCTCAATCAAAGAGACGTTCACCCCGGGCGAATACGTTGAACACCAGCATCGCTTGGACGCAGATCGCCGCCGACACGGCGTGTGCGGTGTACCAGCCCTGCACGTTATCCGCTCCGCCGTACAGATCCAAAATGTGTCCTGTGACGGCAACGCCAATGACCCCCGACACGGTGCCTGCCGTATTGGAAATACCCATTACCATGCCCGCATACTTCGGAGCAATGTCCATGTGGTTGACTGAAAAGCCGCCTCGGCTGAAACCCAGACAGCCCAACGTCAGCGTCGTCACAACGACGCCGTACGACACGCCGTACTTCCCAGCACCGGGCATAAGCATGAGCGCGGCGGCGGATGCTAAAAAGCCAATGGTGTTGACGGTCTTACGTGCTGTAGCAGTGCTGTTGCGCCGCTTCAAGATGAGCCAGTCGCCCGCCCAACCGCCAACGTTGGACATCAGGAACATGACGAGGTACGGCACTGTCTTAGCGCCGCCAAGGCTGTTGAGCTCGACTTTGAGAATGTGGTTGAAGTAGGTCGGTAGCCAGTTCATGATGACGTAGAACGCGTAATGGAAGGAGAAGTTGTTGATGACGATGGCCCAAACTGCGGGGCTTGACATCATGCGGCGATATGGTGTGGGTCCTGGGCGGCCTTTGTAGCCGCCGCCACCGCCACCGGGGCGAGTATGGTCAAGAGTGGAGAGCGGAATGACAGTTTCACGGTGGGGGATGTCGCGGCCGACCAGCAGCCAGAGCGCCATCCAGGCAATGCCCAGGCCGCCGACGACTTTGAGCAGGGAGGCGGCCCCAAAGAGAGTGGCGAGCCAGGGCAACACAAGCATGGCGCTGGCGGAGCCAAGATACATGCCGGAAGTGGTTAGGGACACGGCACGAGCACGCTCGTGGGGTGGGATCCATTGCGAAAGGACTGTGTGGACGGCTGGGATGAGGAAGCCTTGCGCCACGCCGACGGCGACGCGGGCCAGGATGATGGCAGAGGCGTGGCGGGCATTAGTGGGGGTGAAGATGGATGCGGCGGACCAGCAGGCAAAGCAGAGCAGCAGCATCAAGCGGCCTCCATACTGCTGCGCAGCCCAGCCACCGGGGATTTGAGACAGCGCATAACCCCAGTAAAATGCGGACAGTACGGTTCCCTTGACCGTTTCATCAATGCCGGCCTCCTTGGCAAGGTCTGTGAAAGCAATTGAGAAGCCCACGCGTTCTACGTATGCTGTAAACGTAGCCAAGAACGTGGCTAGCACAATGACGTAGCGTTGCTCGACGCGGAACATGCTCCTTCGTGCGACAGTCATGATGTGCTACTACTGCAAGAGGCTGTTAGATCAAGTTTACGGGCTATGCAAGAAAAGTCAATATAGTCAGACGATGTATACGTCGGTTAAACTCATGGCGTTCTGTCTGCGGGACGATCAGACCTTCAGTTGCAACAGCGAAAGCCCGGCGTAGCAATCCATACTTTAATATAGAGATTACACATATCCGAATTGACCGTCAACCTTAACAATGGGAATTGGGAAAGTTTTCAAAACAAACGTTGCTCCTCCGTACGGGTCGTTGCATCTGTGCTATCATCAACTGCTTCTTACATTCCCTCGCGCAAAATAATCGCCCTTTGGCATACGCCTAAAATGACAAATTGCAAGCTGTGCTCAACCTATTAATGGCCCGTTTGGCCTTGCTATTGTTGATACGTCGTCTAGGCGTGCTTATCTCCTCGGTTCTGGTCCAACCGGTGAGCTGCAAGATGATGTGCACGACGTCAACTACATGCACGAGGCCTACAAAACCCGCGTTCAAAACCCCGAGTAACCACATTGTCTTCTGCTTTTACGTAAGTGACAAATGGCACTCGACGAGGCTCCGTGCCATTTTACCAGGAGAAGTTATCGGCCATGGTAACAACTCAGAAAGGACTTTTCCGACGCGCCTCAACGGCAGATCTCATAGTTTCATCCCAAATAGCTGCTACCATATTATATTCCGCAACACAACAACCCAAACGACCCATCCAACAGAAGTTCAACCCCGTCAGCGATGGCGCCAGATTAGCCCCAAAAGCCCTAATGTAAGTCCCCTTCATCACCCTTCAATCAGCCTCAATCACCTTGACGTGCTTGTGCATGCGCGCTTGTATGTCCTTGGTGCAGGCTTTTTGCTTTGGCTCCTGATGAAGGAATGAACGACCTAGGTCTAAGAAATCGATACCCTACTGGAACGAACTCAAACTGGAGGAGAGCTGGTGTAAGAGAGGGGTCTGTTTTCGGTACGGACCAAACCAAAGTGACTCCGCAGCACCCCGCTTTCCCCCCGCTCTAAGTGGATACACGCTATGCGAATAGGACATGAGTGATGTGCCCTTGGTGGGCCGTTCCGCCTAGCCGGTTTTGCTGATTTATCGTGGTGGAAATTGCCCAAGAAGGGCTGGGAAGGAGACTGGTGCTTTTGTCGCACGGTGGCACTTCAGGTGGAGACTACGTGTTATCGTTCGTGGAGATGAAAAAGAGATAAAAAAGCGAGGTAACGACTCCCCTTTAGGGGAAGAAGGGGAACACCCCTTCAGAACTGCGTATGACCGATAGGACCGCCTGTCATAATTTAGGCGAAGGTGGAATGCTTGCTGCGCGTCTTGCTGCCAAGCCTTACAATCGATGGACGCTAACATGTTTTGTTGCTTTAACGATACTGTCATCAGCTAAATGATCGACATCGCGGTAGCACAACAATATGTTGGCATTACCGGGGGGGAATTGTTTTCAACCAGCATGTTTTGGAGGTTGTTCAAACCCTAAGCCCCCTTAACACCTTCAAAACTTCGAAAAGCCTGGTCACGCATCTTTCCAAGAGCAAGCCAGCAGGTCCACCCCAGGATTGCCTTTTGTACGCTCTTACTTTTTATAGTTATACTCTAGCTCTACATAATCTCAAATATTTCAAAACCAAATAATATAACATTAAGTGCATTTAGACCATAAGAAGATAGTAAGAATATTAAAATATATAATTATCATTATTAGTAGGTATTATTATTATAATTAGTTCTTAAGTAATTATTATTTATTTTATAATTATAACTATATTTTTTGAGGGGAGAGATCAAAGGTGTTTTCTCCTCTTTTCTCTTCTTCAAAAAAGATACGGTCTAATGGTTCTGGGTATCCTAAAATTTACCAATCATAAATCATAAATTTTTTAAAACATATTCACCTTTTATGCCTATTTGTCCCTTCTTAAAAAATATTTTACTAATAAATGAGCTTGCTACAGATATTCATAAAAAGACATTCGATATGTTCGTTTCTAAGTGCCTGCGTATCATCGTGTCTATGTGCGGCCCTTACATACCCGCCAGGTGGTTATCGTTGGCCATGTACCCCATTCTTCTGGATCCACTTGGCGGCAATAACGCCTCCACCGTGAAGGGAGGCTGGGACGCGTCTGACAGTACATTCTTCAAGTCTGCGGCTGCTTCAAGCGTCACCAGGGCATTGTGCAGCCCGAGTGGAAGTGGTTTACATACGGGGTGGAAAAGTGCGCCGAGCGCGGTCCGCAACGGTCAAAACTTTCTACCAACAGATGTGTTAATACTTAAACTGTATTCGAAACGTATAGAGATGGCCATACCGAAACCGGTAGCAGCAGCGCCCATGTCCAGCCACATCACATTTCCGTCTGGTCTGGGTAGACACTACTGCAATAAGCGGTTTTAAGGTCCTGGGTTCAATTCCTGGGGAGACCCCAGGATTAGACGGGAGCGCGAGATTATGCCTAGCTGCTGAGATGTGGAGTTGGGGTCACAGTTGATGGACCAGATTCGCACGCTGGATTGGTGGCGATTGTCGAACCCTCCGTCTCTTCGGATGTTCGGGTGAATGGATGAGGAGGGGTCCCTGAAGGCTGGATCCGCCGCCTTGGACTTACAATTCGTATGGCGAAGACAGTGTGGTAGTGGTGGATGGTGCTATAAGGTGATAAATCGTAGAACTGACAATGTGATAAAGCGGCCCAGAAGCCTCCCACTCTGTAACATTACAAATTACATTACAATAGCCCACTTCACGTCTATGTGTGGGATGCGCCAGAAAGAATCAGACCAAATATCTTAGTAGTATTCATGTGGAACATAAGGCGGGAACTTTTGAGTTCTATGCGGAGGCTCTGATGTGACCAAAGGGGTGCTAATCCACACGTGGTCAGTATGGTGCCGACTCGCTCGTTCCTCTGGTCACGTGGATGTTTGAGCTAGATGTTGACGCATCTAGATAAGTAATGTGTAAAACTTTTGTCACTTCGATATGCGAGAAAACTGGCAGGAGTCTGAGCCTGCCGCCTAATAACTCGTTTTTCGTTTCACTTGCCACATTCGCAGCAACGGACCAGAGATGCAGCGTAAGACATAAAATGGCAGACAAGTTATATGAATCTAAGATATTTAAGCAGCCCCTCGCACAAATGTGTCCGGTCGTACTTCGCGAATAAACAGTTCGTACATCGTCCCAAAAGAATTTTCTTTCGAATTTTGCCGTGCGGATGCGCGCGTGCGATTCGCAAAATGCGCCTGTACAAGTGTATATAAATTTTCTTGGCGGAAAAGGACCAGGTGCGCCAGCGCGTTGCGCAGGTGGGCATGTTGGCCATAGCCGCACGCGGCATGCAGGCTGGACTATTGCGTGGATGCTTTGCAGTAACTAAAAGCAACGTCGTAGCTTGCAACTCTGGGCTCGTGAAACTGCCGCGGAAGATGAAGCGCTGGCGAAGAGGCAGTTGTATGCAGCACCTTGTTCAGAGTAAAGTCAAATTACAAAGTTGCGCAAAGTATAACATACATAAACTTAATTAAACATAAGAACAGATAAGACGTTTAGAGCCTTGTCGGTGACATGGACGCCGCTGTTGGCTTGGAACAGCTATTTGCTGTGCATAGGGAGGTGCCCGCGTTAGCCGTGTTGCAACAGCTCAGGATGGATTTCAGCCAGCAACAGCCTCAAGAGCTGCTGCACAACCACCGGGAATGTCTTCAGTTGGGCACGTGTAGTTTTGGTCGGCGGGGTCGAGCAACGTTCTGTAACATCGCCAACATATCCGGTACGCGGTGGCAGGCTTGCCGAGCACGAAATGAAGGGGGGGTCGCATCTCACCATTCAACTAAGCATGCATGTGCTCGGTTGAATGCTCGGTAGCGTGCGAGTTTACCCCTATCAGGATGTTTGTTTGCATATCCCTCCAAGCGAGAGGGCTTGCACCTATGCTGATGTTCGTTCCAAGAAATGAACTGAGGACTGATGCTACGGTGAAAGATTTGCACGTAAATTCGCCCGTGCAATAAAACGCCCTGTAACTCGCTTACGCTAATCTCACATTCCAATATGCCACTGCACTTTCCTCTCCAGCCTGGCCACATTATCTTCCTCGCAAACGTACTTGGGCACCTTACAATCCAACACCATACGTGCTTTAGAAACGCGGGCAGCTGCTTCACAAGGACCCCCCTATTTGCAGATACCGATGTGCTTACGAATTGGCAAGGGGTCATTTTGGCAACAACAATTATAAGCATGACTAAACGACAACGACCGCTAACGGTCATGCTGCTTAGATTTGAGGCGCTCTCTGGCAAACTGGGAACTCGTAGAAGGCACAGCCCAGGTACAGCAGGTTAAGGGCTTTTTACGTTTCTTAATGAAAGGCATAATCTGCAAAGCTTGCATCGCTGGTTGCCAGAAGGACGACGTCTCTCAGTAACCGCCTTCCCCGTAACGCTCTCTTCTGCTTTCCTTTCATTCCTCTCTGGAGCCAGGTGTCCCTTCCAGCATCAATCAACAGCACGCCTTTTTATTTTTCTTAAGGCGTGCTGTTGATTGATGCTGGTATGCGGTATGCTTATGAGCCTAATCCTAGCCTCCAGCAAGAGCGCATGTGGGCATGCAGCATGTGGGCATACCAAGCGCCGTGCTGATTTTTTCTAGATTGGCAACGGTAGTTAGGAAAGACCCGATCGGGCTGCGGCGAACAGACGGAAAAAAAGAAAACAAATAAAAGAAAGCCACTGGACCCCCCCCCGATCCAGTCCCAGCCCAACCAACCAACCACCCCTCTCACACCTTCTTCCCATAAATGTCTCCCACGTACCTCCCCTCCTCACCCACGTACCTCCCCTCTTCACCCACGTACCTCCCCTCCTCACCCACGTACCTCCCCTCCTCACCCACGTACCTCCCCTCCTCACCCACGTACCTCCCCTCCTCACCCACGTACCTCCCCTCCTCACCCACGTACCTCCCCTCCTCACCCACGTACCTCCCCTCCTCACCCACGTACCTCCCCTCTTCACCCACGTACCTCCCCTCCTCACCCACGTACCTCCCCTCCTCACCCACGTACCTCCCCTCCTCACCCACGTACCTCCCCTCCTCACCCACGTACCTCCCCTCCTCACCCACGCAACACCGCGTACCATACAGCTCCGTGTCTCTCCTTCCTCTTCCCCGCATTACCGGCTGCCCCCAGTCCAAACTCCTCTCCCCTCTCCCCCATCCCCCTCCAGTCCGTCTAGCCCAATGCCCCCATCGGCATTCAGTCCCGGGGAGTCATCACCAGCCGCAACTTGGACAGCTTCGTCACCACAGCCACCCTGGTTAGACGGGCGGTGTGCTCGGCGAGGAGCTGCTGCAGATGCTGCTGCTGCTGCTGGGGGCGGGTTTTGGGGGAGCTGCCACACCCGCCATTTCCACCCTCGTCAAACTCAGCCGCAGCTGCTTCCGCCCCCTCGTCCAGGACGTCCGTCTCCCACCCGCCCTCCTCCCCGCCCTCCTCCTCCTCCTCCATCCCCTCCATCTTCGCCGCCTCCGTCCCCAGGGTCTGCGAGGGAGAGGGCGACTGCAGCGGCAGCTCCGGCCGCTCCAGGCCCATATCCCCGTGGAGGGCAACTCGGTAGCGACTGAGCAGCAACGCCAAGACGGCACGAACCACTACCAGGCCGAAGTTCTGGAGATCGGCATGTTCGTGTGTGTTTGGATGTGGATGAGTGTGTTTGCGGGGTGGGGTGGAGGAAGAGGGGGAAGAGGGGGGGAATTTAATTTAGTGCGGGTTTGGAAGGTTATTGTTTGGTGATCAGTATCAGTGTCTGATGGAATTGGGTTGCAGTTTCGTTACGAGGGGTGGAATCCGTGCCCGGTTAGTTGGCCGTTTTGTTCGTTGTTTGTTTGTTTGTTTGTTTTGGTGAAGTGGTGTACTCTGGCGTACTGTTGCTGTCCAGCCAGCAGGGGACTGAGCCCCCGCTTTGGGATGTCATGGGTTGTAATGCGGGGAGTTGGCTGGCCCCGCTGTACGGAAAGGAGGTCCAAGGGGAAGGTAGCCCCCGGGCACTGTGTATGTGTGTGTTGGGGGGGGAGTGGAGGGGGGAAATCACATGCGAGACAATGGGAAGTGAACTGCGGAGGCGGGGAAAGGGGAGATCTCGCTCCCCCGGGTTCAACCCCCCAGCTCCAAGCGGACGATGCCAAGGGCCTTAAAAACCACACAAGCATACACACACGCATACCGCACCCCACATACATACATACCTCACCCGACATACATACATACATACATACATACATACCTTACCCGACATACATACATACGTGCACACATACATACATACACACATACATACACACACCTGGCCCACGCAATTCTTGGGTCCATCCGCAAAGGGCAAAAAGCGCCGAGGGGCGCCGGAAGCCCCCGGCCCCCCTTGAACGGCAGAGACTCCTCCACCACCCGCGGCCTGGGGGTCCCCCGTCTGCTGCTGCTGCTGCCGCTGCTGCTGCTGGCTGCCCCTTGGTCGCGTGTTAGTACGGCTGGTAGTGGTGGCGGTAGTAACGGTAACGGTATTGGTATTGGCTGTGGCACTCTCCCCCCGCGCAAATGCGCAACGGGGGTCCTCCAACCAGCGTTCCATTCTGAATGCCAGCATCGACCAGAGGTGGGCGAGGGTGAGGGTGAAAGGGAGGGGAGGGGAGGGGAGGGTGAAGGGGAGGGGAGGGGAGGGGGAGGAGTGCGAAGGGGGGGCTGTGGTGGTAATGCACAACCCCAAAAGCAAACTGCGGAGGGGGATGGGGAGGCGCACTGGAGGGCGGGGAGCCTGGGGGGACGAGGGAGTCGGAGGAGGAGAGCCGTCCAATTCAATAGTCCGCTCCCAAGCAGCCCAAGGAATCGGGACCCAGTACGGCTTGTACGGGGTACGGCACCAACCTGAACGCCTCCGGCTCGTCCCAGTTTGCGTCCGACATGTGTATGCCGTACACCAGCGGCCACAGCACCACGCCGGGGGGCAGTGTGAAGGGCCCCACAGCGACGGGGCGATCGGGGCTCACCCTGTACGGATGGGGTGGGGGGTCGTGCACGCGCGTGTGCGTACGTGTGTTGTGCAGTACAGCATCTGCGGGGAGTGTGGGCGTTTGTGTTGTTAGTGTCCGTCCCAGGCCCCCCTCCTCTCCCCCCTTCCCCCCACATACACATACACACACCTCTCCGCCGCCACCGCCGTAGTGGGGTACAGCCGCATTGCCTCGTTGACGAAGGCAGTTAGGTACGGCAACTTGACAAGGTCCTCAGGACTGGGGCATACCGTTGGGTCCAACCGAAACTGCCGTATCCCGGGTCGGGGACTGCCGCCGGCAGCGGCACCCCCTTCTTCACCCTCCCCCTGTACAACCACCGCGCCGTTACCAAACACACACGCTTGCTGCAGCTCGTCCGCCACCTTCTGCTGCTGATCGGGGTGAAGTGCGGCCGCGTAGCTGCAGAAACGTGTGTGTTTGTATGTGTATTTGTTTTCGGGGCCAGGGCATTTACGTGGAGAGAGGATGGCCGGGAGGAGGGGAGAGGAGGGAAAAGAAGGGGGGTGGGGTGGGCAGTGGGGTTTGAGGGGGAGGGGTTTAAGGAGGGATGGGGCGAACAGGGAAAAAAATAAATCAGAAATTGCAGCTATATTAAAAGTAGGAATAAATGGCGCAGTAGCAGATTAACCAAAACAAACCGAAACACCTGACGACATCAACGCCCGCTTTAGGAACCCAACGCGACTGATCCCGAGACCATGGGCACGATGTCAAATCGAGCCCCTCCTCTTCCCTCCTCTCCCCTCCTCCTTCTCCCCCCCCAACCCCCCCAACCCCCCAAGCTAGCTAGCCGAAACCCTTCCCACCCACTCCCGCACAACTCCTTTGAAAAAGAGATTGCCGTATTAGCCTGCCGTACCTGCCCCCGGCGAGGGGGAGAAGAGACCTCACCAAAACCCAGGCCCCTGACCAAAACCCAAAACCCAAGCCCCTCCCCCCTCACTCACAGGCACCAACCCACGGTTGAAGCGGTGGTGTCGAACCCTGCCGTGGTGTACATACCCACTGTACGGCATGACGAAGGAGGGGGAAAGGGGATTCGGGGGTTTGGCGGGGCATGTGCGAAAGAAACGAAACGCCGAGATTTGAATTTATGTCGGTGTGCGTGTGTATGTGTGTATGTGCACGGACACACACATTTAAATCGTGCCCACCCGCTTCACCCTCCTCTTACACGCCAGCTCCACTCACCCCTTTCCCATCCCTTCCCCTCCCATTCCCCCCCCCTTTCCCCTCCCCTCCCCCCCCTTTCCCCTCACCCTCCCCCCCCCTTCCCCTCACCCTCCCCCCCCCTCACCCTCCCCCCCGTCCCACCCCCTTCCCCTCACCCTCGGGATGTAGCTGTGTAGGGGTGAGGCGGGCGCCGGTGATGTGGTGGCGAAGTCGGTGAAGACACGCCCACAGCAGTGTGTTGTCTGAGGGGGGGTCGGGCCTGGGGGCTCCGGGGCAGGAGGGGTGGTGGAGTGAGTGGAGCTGGGTGTAAGAGGAGCGTGAAGCGGGTGGGCGCGACTTAATGTGTTTTTTGAATGTGTGTCTCCGCGTTCATGTGGGGGGTTGTGTGTTTTGGAAAGGAGGGGAAAAGGGCGGGTCATCGTAACCGAGGCTCCGGGCCAGCGGCCATCCAAACTCTTAAAACCCTAATCCTTACCCCCGCAGTCCCTCCCTCCCGTAACCCCCCCTTCTTCACAAACCCCTTCCCCCCCGCCGCCTCCAAGACCTGGTACAGACCTCTCCCCCTCCTTCCCCCCCACCTCTGGCCCCCCCACCTGTCCAGTAGTCTAGCAGCAGTGGCGGTGTGGAAAGCCCTAACCTCCCGTACTGCCGCACGGCACTCAGACACATGCTGGGGTGAAATGAATGGGGGCGGGTGGGGGTGGGGGTGGGGATGGGAGGGGCCCCAAGAGAAAGATATACACACAACTCTAATCCAAAAGTCATCCCCCAACCGCCGTACGGGAAGAAAACTAATCTCGCCTACATGTGCTCGTAACCTTCCTCAAACCCACATACACATACATACATACATACATACATACATACATACATACATACATACATACATACATACATACATACATACATACATACTAGGTTAGGCACTACTGGTAAGGCACGACCATTGCCCCCGGGAGATCCCGGGATCGAGACCTGTAAGAGTCGAAGTACCTTCCGGTGGTGGAAGGTAAAGTGACCCTAGCTGATGGACGGTGGTGACCACGCGAGCCGACCAGGAATGGCTGTCGACCCGGCAGATTCCGTTGGATGCCGGTGGTGGGTGCGGAACCTGAGCGATCCACCCAGTAGTTGACTAGGGCGACTAGGTGAGGGTGCCCCGAAATACCGGGGAAGGCAGGGTTTCGCAGGGTAGCTGCCACGGGCGAAGATACACCCCCCTGTTTCACACATCATACATGCATACATACATACATACATACATACATACACACACAATAACACCCCGTCTACCTTGGACAGCAGCGGTGCAAGCGGTGTACGGTACCATAAGGCCCACAACGGATCAACGATCTGACGGTTGGCTTCCGCCATCAGCAACAGAATGCGTGGGACGAGCAAATCAAAGCCGGGGAGAGCGCGCGCGTCAGGAACCTGCAGCCGTGGGGGCCCCCCCCGAGCCGCGGGGGGAGACCGCCCCAATGGGCCCAAGGGGTGGGGGGTTGGGGGGTTGGGGGGGGGAAACCACGTGGAGGGTAACGAAGGAGGACGACGAAGCAAAGATCAAATAAACCGACGTCCAAAGCTGCAAACCCCCGGGGAACAGGGGGAAGGGGGGGTATACATGCAAACTTCTGTATCAAAAAAGCCGCCGCCACACCACCAGGCCTTTTTTCCGTTCCGTGGTGGTAGGCAGAATGCGCTTCAGGGTTTTGTGGTTTACTGGTGGGGATGGTAGTTTAGGTGGTGTCGGGACTCAGTACACCTGAAAACCATGATAACCATGATAACAATCTAAGAACAAGTGATCGGATCAAGTGAAATTACACTGGACAATGTCTGTGTATTGTTTGTTACATGTTTACACTACATATGTATCCGCCTGCCGGCTCCTCGGGTGTTTGAGGAGTGTTGAATTGGGAGGTGGCCCCCCATCTTATGGACGGTGTAGGACGTGATAATATCAACTTGCGAGCTGACCAGGAACTAAGTTGAGGCGCCGTTGATCCGCCAGGTTTGGTTGGATGCTGGTGGTGAGTTGCTGAACCCAACGATTACGTTTTGAAGTCGGATGGGTTGAACGGATTAGGGTGGGAAACCACTCTCGCAGGGGAGAGCAGGGAACTGCCTCCAAGGGAAAGGGGGCTGCTGGTGAAGCTATACCACCCTGTAACAACATATGTAAACAATTACACATAAAACAATACAGGATAAGTTAAGTAAGCCCAAATGTGTATTTGTGCGTGTGTGCGTGTGTGTGCGTGTGCGTGTGTGTGTATGTATGTATGTGTGCGTGTGTGTGTATGTATGTATGTGTGTGTGCGTGCATGTGTGTGTATGTATGTCCTTTCCCTACGGCGACAGGGCAGCCGGAAACCCACGACACGTATCAGCACCACGTGATGCGCTCGACACATGACTTGTTCGGGACGGGGGGGGGGGGGGAGAGGGGGAAAGACGAACCACAAACGAGTGAAGCTGCTGCCAGGGCAAGACCCCGGGGTGGTGGTGGTGGTGGTGGGGGAAATAATCAACACAGGCACACGCGCGTCACATACACATACACGTCGGCACGCAACCTCACTCACTCACCTCGAACAGCCCCTCCAGGGTGGCTCGCAACATCATCCTCTGCAGGTACGGCTCCGCATCTACGTAACCCGCATCGAGCTGATCGAGTTCCAGGGATTCCAACAGCTCGCCTGAAGCGCTCAGTACACCGCCAAAGTAACGCCTGCGGGGTATTGCCCCCCCACCCCCACCCCCCATCCAGGTAAGAAATACGTGGCTGTGTTTTCATGGTCTGAGCCGCGAGAAGGAAAAGGAGAGATACGTGCCCCTGTGTACGTGTGTATGTATGTATGTATGTATGTGTGTGCAATTAAATCAGTTGCCGTTCAGGTCCATTACGGGGACATAAAACACCCAAACCTGGCAACAGAGGCACCAACATACAGAAGAACTGCAAATATAAATGCCGCAAAGGCTTTCCGTACATAGAGCCATGCAATACTTCCGTACATACACCATCACCCGCCCGGCCCCTCATCCCTTTTTGACTTTTCGCCCGCCCCCTCCCTCTCGGCCTTAAGCCCCCTCCCCGTGCCCCATGTGAACTCCCGCACCAGTTCGGAAACCTGCACCTCACCTAACATTAGCCATGGAGAAGGCAGGGGCTGTAGCTTTCCGTACATTCCGCCAATGGGCCTCATCCCGCGTGCCGAACATGCTGTGGGTTATCAGGACGGGCAGAGGGGCGGGTGGGGGGGAGGGGCTCCACCTCCACTTCCACAATCGATACATACATACACACAAACCTTTCACGCGCCCCCTCGCCACCCACCTGATCTTCCCCGGGCCACCCAGCACCTACAGGCGGGTACGATGTAGTGCCGTACGGTATGTAACCCGGTGCCGTACGTCGGCGCCGGGGGGAAACAACAGGGGACGGGTGTAGAGGCGGCGTGGAGGGAAAAGGGAGGGGTGCATTCGCTGAGATCGAGCTAAGGTAGCGGACGGTTAGGAATATAGTCGATCACACACGTACAACTTGCCTCCAAATAAAACAGTTTTTCCGAATGACTTTACCCGACATATTTCCGAGAACAGATCGCCAAAAACCCCTCACCCCACCCCACCCCACCCGACCCCTTACCTCATCTACGAGGGTGTAGTTGTGTGTACGGCCCGGTACAACTGCTAGGACCTGGGCCGCGGCTGCAGGATCGGTGATGACGACCGTCCATTGGGTCAGAATGCTGTTTTGGCCGGGGATCAGGGTGGAGGGGTTAAGGGGTCGCGGAGGGACATGTGGGTTTTTCACGGGTGCGGTGGGCGTGAAGCCGTGGAAGGTGAGATCGGCTGTTAGGCTTGTTTCACCTCTTCGCGGGGCTGGGGGTTTCTGGATATCGGGAGCGAGAGAGGAGTAAACATTGTCGCTTACCGCCGGTGGACCTACCGCAGCCGAAAGATTTTACCATACTTTCGAGTCCATGCCAGGATCACCCGATGATAGTCGGGGCGCAGCAAAAATTTGACATGACCCAGGATGGCGTCCCCGACAGGTGGTGTCGGAATCTTTCTTAAATCATAACTTGGGGCAAAATACAGGCCAATGAATTTTGTCACTGCCAAAGCGAGCGCTATGCCTAAAATATTCAGCAAGAGGACGATGGCGGGGGTCCATGCTCCAAGAGGACCGTGGGTCGAATAGTAAAACCTAAGAGTATCCCACATCTTACACCAAGCTACCGGCGCATTTGGAATGGGAGCCGGAAAAGCGTGCACAAATGAGTGAGACGAGACCGTAAACTCGTCCAAGTCTGCAGTTTGAAGGTCACATCTACGGCTGCCAGAGCCAATCGCCGATATCGGCTTGTCGTATGTTTTGGACAATGAGTATCGGTATCTTAAGGGTCTGTGTTATTATAAATCCTTTAAACCTAAGCAACGACAGGCTTAGCCGCACGGTACCAACGCGTTTCTACAATGCGTTGCGGTAAAAGAGGAGTCATACGTGATACAGGACTTATTAACTGACAACTCAAACGGAGGGAAAGTTGCAATTCGAGTATGCAAGCTCGGGAATTCAACGTGGCCCTCCGTCCGTGAATGGCCTTCCTCAGCGGGGCTCCTTCAAGACGTCCTCTATCCTTATGCACGTAGCCACATGGAAGGTCTTGCTTTGCTGGCGTTTTCGTCGGGCACTCGCGAATGATGGGCATCGAGCCATCGACGTTGCTGTCCACTGCGCTTCTCAAGTCTAATCTCTATCATTCTGCTTTAGCTATATTGCCAGTCTCTTGGATGACACACACGCGGTTCTGCTCCTGGCCCTTCCTTGGCGGGCTGGTACCATAGCTTTTTTTCGCCATCGGCAACATTTGCGCCGCCAAACGTTTCTGGCATAATAACCGACACTTGAACTCCTGTGTAATACGTGCGCTTGGCTGGTCGTTTCACGAGCCAAATTGGCGCAACCAGAGGACGCCCAGGGAGGTCACGTGCCAACGGCTACCCTACCCCAGCTATGACACCTTGCGCTGTCGACAGGCTCAAGGCCGCATTGACTACGGCTCTCTTATTGCATTATACGTTCCCTGTTATGGGGCATAGACATGAACCTCATGTCATCTTTACGGCGCAACGCAAAGTTTTCAGATCTACATTACTGTAATACTGTCACTGCCGTCCGCCACTCCCCTTCGACACGGGGTAGTGATGCTGGGGTATGCGTTTACTTGCGCGACAGCTGCTGCATCATACTTCGCGGGTGAGGAGGCCCACCCGCGATACCGAGATAGCATAAAGGAAACGCCGACTTGAAGCTTCTTTCTTCTGCCCCCGTGTCCAGAGGGTTGCAAAGATTGGGAATTGGGGGTTCGGCCTTCGGGTTACTCACACGTTGGGTTGCGATTCAGCAAGTGCGACCGATACCGGGCGACAAGCAAAATTAACATATGCCCTTTCCTAAAACACAAGGGTTCGTGAGGGTAACAAGGATCTCCCTGACAACCTGCTGGGTTGTGTACGCCCTGCTTTCTGCTGTGTAGTGGTGTCGTTGTGGGCCCCTCCGGTAACTTGTTGGCGGCGCATTTCACATTAAATAAAAAAACATGCGCTTTTATCTTTTACGCGGCTTAATCCGAGATAGCTCTGACTCTTTCAGGTGGCACGCGTCTTGGAAGCCTGCTATCCAAGTTTGTGTGTAACATAAAAACATTTTAGAGACACGACGCCCAAACAATTGTGTTATGTAAAAATTAGGACTGGGTTTTGGAAGGAGTGTCCAAAAATACAACGCCCGTAACCGTTGCAACTAAGTGCTCCTAACTAGGTTCTACTCAATTGCACCATTTGTACACGCATACATACACGCATACACACGTACATACATACATCCGCGGCGGTGCATACATGCGCACACACGCAAGCATAGGTAAGTTAATTTACGGTCTATACAATGAGACGGAAGGACGCCATTATAACACGAACACTGCAACTAACAATCAGCCTACTCCCCAGGAAGGCGGACGGAGCTTTAGCTTCATTACACTCATTTCAAATTAGATGTTACTAAATATAACTAAAGAAAATGACGTATTTGAATAATCGAACCGTGCATTAGTGCAAGGACCCAGATCGAAGCCCATCGCGCGTGTGAGTGTGGACGACCTCTCGTGGCAACCTACTGCATCATCTCATGGTGATGGCCATTTCTCAAGCTAGTTTAGGTGCATGTACGGCATGGCATGGGTATGTGCGCACGCATTGCAACTCTTTAAACAAAAACATATGAACATAATGTGTTTGTCGGTTTCCATGTAAATTTCTTTCAAAACATAATTATAAGTAGTAGAGGCGCACACACAGAGAGAGGCGCACAAAGCGAGCTATCTAGCAACCCGCAGAACTTTAGGAAACAGAGGAGAGTAGCAGCAGTATATACAAGCTGTTGTACAGCCGCGCGGGTGCTGCAGAACAGACGGCAGTGCACACAGCTGCCATCGCCGCCGCTTCTTCTCGTCGTGATGCGGGTCGCTCGTGCGGAAAGCAGCTGCTGCTAGGGAGGCGGAGGGTGGGAGGGCAGCCCACACACGCCCCGGGAAGGGGGGGGGCTGAAGATCCCTTCCCAACCTCCCTCCCCCCCCGGCAGATGCAGCGTCCCGTCTATCTCGTCCCAACCGCTCGTGTCCTCCCACTCTTAACTACCTTGCCTGTCCTCATTCAACTACCAACCGCCAACCACTTCAACCCACAATAAAACAAACGTAACCACCCGTCATCAATGATGCAATGCTGATGACGACACATGATGACACCCCGCCTGTCCGCTCGCCACATCATGCCGACGCCACGCCATGTCACGACACACATACACACACACATACACACACACACACAACGCTAAACCCCACTTTGCACCAATCAGCCACCAAGAACGCGCCTAGCGCGAAAAAAAGATGACTGTGGCCGCGGCCTAGTGCCCCTTGCATGGCTGGCTACCGTTTGTTTGGTTCACCTAGTGAGTGTGGTTACCTAGAAGTAAATAGCGAGCCAAGAGGCAGTAGAGCAGCAGGACGCGGAGAGAGGAGAGGCATCCAACGACAACGTAACGGAGAGGAGAGGGTGCGCGCAGCCAGCCAGTCAGTCAGCCAGCCAGCCAGCTAGCCAGGACGCTCTTCCCCGCCCTCTCCCCGAGTCGTCTCAGAACGTCTGCCGGCATTCATCCGCCACGCGTTAAATCAGGATGACTCAAATCGTACGGGTAACACAGAAAGCGGTGTACGGCAAAATTGTACAACACACAAAAACACACACACAAGAGGCATCCTGGTGCTGCCGCGCTTGACTGCCCCGGGGTCGACCGAGACATCCTGACAGCGACACACACCCTCCGCCCATTACGGCTTCCTCAGCCCCGACTGACGGTTATTGTCTTCAATAGAAATAGCATCGCATCGCTAGAAGTAAGGAAAAACATGCGTATATGTATATTCGCACATACATACATACTCATCACTCGTCACTCGCGGCTCGTCTGCCTTGCCGTGCGAAATGATGCTATGCTGGCATGCCATGACGCATGGACAAACACAAATACGTACATACATACACAGACACACACACGCTCGCTCTCTCAAGCTTTGAGGGCGGGCGATTGCAGGCAGGTTCCACCACGAGTACAAGTCACTGCTGGGTCCTTCCTCCTGCGGTGTCATCGACACACGACGCAAAAGAAATGAGAAAAAACAAGCGCAACAATCGGCTTTAGATCCGTCCAACCAAAATGCGATTTCCTGAAGGCCTGTCTATGTGTCGTGTGCTGGAGGCGCCAATCCTCGGTTAGTACCAAGATCTGTCGGAGCCGCGTGCCGAGTAGCATCCTGTAGCGCGCTGTCGTCGTCCTTGTTTTGCCGCCATCCTTGCTGCCGTCATTGCTATCGTTAGCTAATGCTGCAGCTACTGCTGCTGCAACAGTTACTGCTGCTGCAACAGCTACTGCTGTTGTTGGTAATGTCTACAAAGAAGTCCGACGGCTGTCCGAGTACCTGAAGACACACCCGTGATAAGACATACATACATACATAACATACGTACGTACGTACATAAGGCACATGGAAGGACCTTTGCCTAAAGGAAAACGACGTGACCACCCAAACACACAGAGACCCAAGACGATGACAACGACGACGACGACGACGACATCGGCGTGGTGTGGAAAGAACCGCTACCGGAGGTCATCCTCCGCAAGAAAGGAGGTGGAGGAGATGGAAAGAGAAGCGTAATAAGGGAGACAGTGGCCTTCCACACGCTGGACAGATAGCTACAGGCAACTCATCAAATCTCACGCTTCCGCTCAAACGGTTCGCATAGCTGCTGTACATGCGTTTTCCTGTATGTATGTCGACCCACATGACGTCCCGACGCAATGTGTACGACGCGGATTGATATCCGTACGGCAGCTGTACACCCGCGCATGCAGCATCACGCATATGACCATATTCAACACATGCGCCGCGTCAGGGCGAGGGTTCGTTCAGCCCTGGGATATCGTGATATGATATTAGGGTTGGCCTATTATAGAAGAAAAAAACACGCACACGCACACGCACACATATGTGGCTAAACAGTATGGCCATGGATACCCCACATCTTGTACGGACTAGGCCTGTACCGCAAAAGCCGGCTGGGTGTGTGACACCCAGTTGAGCCCAGGTACGGCAAAAGGCAAATATTCTTGAAAACCAAACCATGTGCCCACTAGTCGAAAACCCACTGAAAAACAATAAAGCAGCCAACCAAAGTAAAAAAAGGATATAATAATTGGCTTGTTGATTTCTAATGATGGATTGATTAGCCGATGAGTATCTGTGGTCGTGCGCGCGCGCGCATGAAAGAGAGTGTGTGTGTGTGTGTGTGTGTGTGTGTGTGTGTGTGCGTGCGTGCGTGTGTGTGTGTGTGTGTGTGTGTGTGTGTGAGAGAGAGAGAGAGAGAGAGAGAGAGAGAGAGAGAGAGAGAGAGAGAGAGAGAGACTGCCTCTGCTAGCCTTTTCCTTCCATTTCCCCCTTCTAACCGATAACGCTCCAAGACGCATTCAACCTCAACCTCAGAATCCAAGAAGTCAATGATTCAATAAAACCCTAATCCAACAAGGACGATCCAGTCGAGCTGTCCGCCTGTGTCGGCGTATTGCCGTACGTGGGCTCCCATTGAACAGGAGAAAAATCAGTCGAAACCATTCTCATTCAGCTCCCTTTGCCATCCGGGGTGTGTTGTGACGCCGTACCATGGGGCTGCCCCCTACCGTAGCGGGCCGTCACCCTCGTCAGTGACCTTGGGAATACACCGTTTTCTGCAGCTGGCTCTGAACGCACACTTTTATGCCTCACGTCTCTTAAAAGGCCATAAAAGGTCGATACACAGTCTAGAAAGAAAGCCAAGCATTTCACCACACAGCGAGAGAGCAACGGGCACCAGCAAAAGCGCGCGCGCGCTCTCAGGTAACCCCAAGACGATCGCAGCTATTTTCTGGTACCGTACTACTACCAGCGGAAAAAACATAAAAGAGAGCCCGAAAAAGAAAAGCTCACCTCGCGTAAAACGTTTTGTGCCTTTCTCATCCACGGAAAAAGGAGCTTCAAGCCAAGCATCAGGCGGCTGCTTTAAGGGTGGGGCTTTTAAGTCAAGGCAATCTCTTTCTTCCCTCTACCACTCCACAGTCGTGCAACGGCATCATCCCTTGATGATGATGGTGATGGATAAATTGAATCATCATCTCCCAATTTCCTCGTCTCTTTTTTTGTCAAAACCTTGTCCAAAACCTTGTCCAACAGCACGCGGGCCCTGCGGCCGGGCCAGCCATCCCCCAACACCCCCAAACGACCCCCCCCAACCCCCCCAGCGCCCTTTAGTAGGCACATCACAATGAGCTTCATTCACCAACTGCTGCCGTACGGAATCCCGCCGTTGCGCCTAAAACAGGAATCCCGCCGTTGCGCCAACCAACACCTGCGGCGTCCCTGGAAGAGCGAGGGGGCCCACTCACTGCAGTGCGGTCTCCACCAACACAAGGAGCCGCGGGGCTGGAGGGAGGGTGATCAGAGTAATTGATAAAAAAACACGGAGTCCAAAAAACATTTGGACTCCGAATGAAAAGGACCCAAAACGGACCCAAAACGGAAAATGGCCTCCGTGGGAAGCCGGCCGTACCTAACGGATTTTAACAGAAAAACAACCACCACACGCGTCGTCCTTCGCTTCCTTTGTGCTTGCTCTTGCTCTTGCTTTTCGTCTTCGCAGAAAGTGAAATCCTCTTCAGCGCCGCCTCCTCACCGCTGTAATCGCCACCACCGCACTGCACCGGCGCAAAGGAGCATTTGAATAAGGCCCGCACCCCCTTCCCCCACCTCCTGCGGTCCGGGTCCCCCCATTCTCTCTCTCTCTCTCTCTCTCTCTCTCTCTCTCCCAAACACAGTTTGTTCGCGAAGATAACCGGTCCATCGAAACCTTCTTCTCCTCCTCCTCCACTTCTTCCTCATTTTATATTTGGCACGTGAGCACGACTCCGGAGATCATCCGGAGCATCAAAAGAAACACAAGGCCAGGATAACGTTGCCCCTGTGTCGGCAAGTCACACGAAACCCGCAGGCTCCACCCCAAAGAGGACAATAAAGAGGATCACGGCACAAATAATGATATAATAAAGAGTTAAGGAGAAAACCCGGAGAGAAAAGCAGGCGGGGCACGCTCTTCCCTTCCCTTCTTCACAGTCTCTTCACAGGCCGCTGCTGGAGGGAAGAGCAGCACGTCCCCCCCCCACCCCCCCAACCCCCCCCGAAAGCTTAGGAACATCCTCAGGAACTTCAAAACCCCAGAAAACATCTACGACCCCATCCGAGAAATAAACACGCATCCGACTCGTCTTCAATCTCCTTCGCAGGAAGCAGGAGGCGAGGAGGAAAGGCCTCCAGGCATATCCCCGGTGGCGACATAGGTGCCCTTCGCCACTACAGCGCCACCGCTTATTTCCTTGCCACCAAGCGTCCACCATTATCGACATCCACTTGAACATTTCTCAAGCTAACTCTACAGTTTCATCGAAAGATTGTACCACGTCGCTCGACACTACGGAGCCCGCTTTGGTATGAAGTTATTCGTGTACCGTTTGCCATCGGCATCTCCCTCATCGCGGCTCCGCGAAGATCATTAAAACACACGTGCCGTACGAGCCATGACCTCTCGTGTAGTCGGGGCCTCCCCCGCCCGCTTTCAAAATCTTCCCTGCACTCCGTGATGTGATGGTTTTGTTTAGGTGTCGTACTTCGCCACGCGATCTCGTCCAGGGCGGCCCGGAAGAAAGGCTACATACAGCCATCGCAGGTTGGCGACGGCGGGGATGGCGGCGGTGTCCAAATTGTCGTACTATTGGTGGGGGCTTCACGGTAATGGTGCTAGCGCTGGTAATGCTGTTGCCATGGCGCATGCCGTTGCTGTTGATGTTGTTGTGGAAAGAGTTGCTGGCGGCTTTGGTGATGGTGATAATGATGGAAGCACTGCTGCTGCTGCTCCTGCTGCTGCTGCGAGCACGTACGGAAAGCTGACGGCGACGTTGCCGGGGAGGCAGTACAAATGGCCGTTGCAGACGACGACATTGGCGGCGGCTGCGGCTGAAAAATGCCGCACCGTGAGCCCCCTGCCGGCTCCACCGCCGGGTCCGCCGCCGCTGGCCGTGATCGGCTTGTGACGCCGACGCTGCACTCTCCGACGGAAGCGGGGAGGGGGGCCTGTCCGTACGAAGTCCAAGGCGCCGGCGCTGACGGGGGCGGCGACGCCGCGGCGCATGGTGCACCTGCCAGACAACACATCTGGCGTGCCAGGACCGGTCTCCCAGATGACGCGTACGACGGCATTGACAATGACGATGGCATCATCCCATCCGCCGCCGTACTGGCGGCAGCGTTGATGGCCTGCGGCACTGAGCAGCGGCGTTCACCGCTGCCGCCGCCGCTGCAAGTGGTCAGTGGCATGCAGCACGGAGGGTTGCCGTACGTGTACGACATGCTTGTGCTGCCATGAGGCAGATAATGGGGATTGTGGGGGTAGTAGGGATGGTGGTTGGGTTCAGTTGGGGCACCATTTCGGGATGATGGCGGCGGCGCCGGGACCTTCTCCGTCAGTGGTGTACGGAGCCGGATATCGTCGTACAGTTGGGTCTGTGGTGGATGCGTGTGATTCCATCTGGACGAGGAATGCGCCGCACGTGCGAACGACGAAACCGAATGCTGCTGCTGCGGCGGCGGCGGCGGCGGCGGCCGCGGCGGCTCTCCCGCATGTGCCGTCGAGGTGATTTCTCCGAGCGAGAAGGAAAGAGAGCGCCGCGCACCTTGCCCTCGCGGCGGCTGCGGCGGTGACGGCAACATCAGTCCTGGCTGAGGGCCTAGCACCGGAGAACGCAAAGAAGTACTGCAATTGGGATCATACGCGCACTCCCGTACTGCCGTACACGAGCTAGGAGCTGAGCCACCCTGTCTGGGACCCTCCCAGCCACGCCGCGCCGCTGCGGCAGGATCGCAACAAGGCAGGGAGCAGTGGGACGAGGTCCAAGCTGGCGGCGACGGCGACAGCGGGGTTGGCGGTGGCGGCGGCGCCGCCGTGGCCGTCAGCGATGGATTACAGCACGGCAGAGTACATCGTGGCACCATCGGCGCCCCTGTGCCGTACGGCTTGCCGAGGGACGTGTGCGGTGATGGCGCAGATGTGTACGGTTGCGAAGGGTGAGATGACGGCGGCGGCGGCGGCGGCGGCGAGGAGACCGATGGGCTCGCAGATGCAGGAGGGGCCTGGGAGGGGTCGGAATAAGGCCCAAACGATAATGTACGGCAGCAGGCAGGGCAAGTGCATCCCAGGGGACGATTTTGAGAGATGGGAGTCCATGCCGGAAACTCATTTTTGGGGGCCGACGGCGGCGGCGGCAGCGGCGGCGGCGGCCTTCCAGCAGTCCGCTCCGGTGGTCGAACCGGTGGCCGCGCCGCAACTTGCGCCAGACCGACGCAGCACGGCTGCTGCTGTACAGTTTGAGCGCCATTCAAGTACGGTGGAGACACGTACGGCAATGATGATGGCGGCGGCAACACGCAGGCAGCGGTGGGCGTTGACCCGGTCAATCTGTCCCCCGGCGGCGGCAGCGGCGTCCCCAGGGGCGATGGCGGAGGAGCGCCGCCAGCAGACGACATGCTCGTGGCGGCGGCGGCAGCTGCGGCGGCGGCGGCAGCTGCGGCGGCGGCGCCGCTGCCGCCACCGCTGCTTCGGG